CATAAAATTCACAATCCCTCTTCAAGGCACATATTCAAAGTAAACGAAGTCGGTATCTTAAAAATATGTCTGGGCCGGGCGCGGTGGCTCACGCCTGTAATCCCAGCAGTTTGGGAGGCCGAGGCGGGAGGATCATGAGGTCAAGAGATCGAGACCATCCTGATGAACATGGCGAAACTGCGTCTCTACTAAAAAAATACAAAAATAAGCTGGGCATGGTGGCGCGCCCCTGTAGTCACAGCTACTCGGGAGGCTGAGGCAGGAGAATTGCTTGAATCCGGGAGACGGAGGTTGCAGTGAGCCGAGATCGCAACACTGCACTCCAGACTGGAGCCTGGCGACAGAGCGAGACTGTCTCAAAAAAAAAAAAAAAAAAAAAAAAAAAAAAAATGTGTCTGTACACCCATGTTCCCTGAAGCATCATTCACAATTACTAAGGTATGGAAGCAGTCTGATTGTCCACCAATGAATGAATGAAGGAATAAAATAAGCCATATATATTTATGTACACCCAAAAAAGTACAGCGTTTTCTGTATGTATTCTCCTATTTGAATGTAATAATCTATAGATAACACCTCTTCAAAATAATTTGGAATTGCTCTTGAACTTGAAGCTTCTTCTATTAGTCTCACTGATGAAATTGTAAATTTTAAAGTATGTAAATGAGAAATGTAAGACATTTTTAATTCAGAAGCTAATGGAAAAGCTCTTTCTTTGCTCCAGAGGTAGGCTTTGATATTTGCTTCTCGTTCTTCCCACAGAAGAAAAAATTAAACTTTAACTCAAAACTAATACCTTGAACTGATGCTACGAAGTTACTGTGGTATGTGACACACAACTAGGGTGAAGTTTACTGTTGTCTCATTTTGTTCAGATGAAGGTTTTAGAAGGAGCTACGAAAGCATTGGTATTAAGGCAAGTAAATTAAAATGAGCCTAATTTCTAATTGGAAAACACACATAAATACTTTGAAAACCACTTTATTAGCAAAAATTGTTTACAGACTTCAGTATAACAAGAACACTTTTATAGTACCTTCTTTGTGCCACACACTGATTTCACTGATCTAGTTGCTGAATGTGCCAAATTCATTTAATCCTCGAAACAACACTATGAGATAGATAATATTTTAATCATCTGATTACAGATAATGAACTGGGCTGAAGATAAGCTCCAGATCACACAAGTGGGAAGTGGAAAGGGCCAAGATTCAATCCCAGAGAGGTCTCATTAAGGATCTGATTCACAATGCTCAACTGCATTTCATTATTAAAAAAGAAAAAGCCACAATTGCCATGGGATTGACTTTATTATGTAAAACAGAACAATGACATTATTTGTAATCACAGACTCAGTCATTTTGTTTCAGAAATTAATTCTCTAGTGAACTAAGGAAATAAGCAAATGTAATTAATAAATCGTAACAATAATTTATTTCTCTCCTTCACCTCAGCACACCTGAAACTGTTGTGTTCAAAAGAGAGCCTCCAATTTATATTTTATGTGTATTTTGCCACTTGAGGTGTTTCAAACTGTAGTGAGTCAAACTAATCAGAAATATCAACATATTTAACTTAAATATTTTTACAACCTCCAAAATATGCTGGACTAAAAACATACAAATCTTGACTTCTTGAGTAAAGTGTCAAGGAGATACATGTAAGTGTGTTGGGGTTTTGACTTCTCAGAGTGCTTAGAAATGTTTATAAATCAAATACCTTAAGAGTGACTAAAAATGTTGAAATAATAAATAACCTGTCTTTTTTCTTATCAAAGAATGTAAGTGCCCCCACCAAGATAATAACAACCAACAATTGTATAAAACTTGATGGTAAAGCAGCAGTCATATTTGCTAAAATCTTTTAGTCTTCCAAATTAAGCCTTTTCAAGAAAGAACAAAGGCCAACAGAATGGTTTTAAATAATGACTACAAACTGATCAGTGAATGAACTGGGGAAAGCACATTTGCCAAACAACATGCCAGTAAAATATATGATCAAATTTTAATATTATAGTTCAAGGGTAATAGCTTAATTTAAGTGGAACTGGACTCCTCTCACAGTTTTTGCATACCTAAGGATTCATAAAATATAAACTACAGATTAGGGACTATATATTCTGAAAGGCTTTGAATAAAGCAATAAATAATTGTGGTGCACATTCTTGAAAATCTCTCTGAATTATTGACAAATAGCATGCCTTAAAGAATACAAATGGCTTATAGTTCTCAAGAGCAAGCTAATATGAAAATTAGATAAAGAAGTTAAGCATATATTTTATTATGTGGCATATACATGATGCATTTTTAAATTATGTTGGTCTTAAGTTCAAAGATATGAGTAAGTGCTAGTTTCATTAAGTAGAACGATTACTAAGTTAATGAAGTATTTGCAAAGACTCTAAATTTGGAAAAGCATGAAATATTAGTAAGAGATAATAAGGTGGTAAGTGGATCCCTTCTCTATTTGGAGAGAATGAGTTCTCTTGGGCATGCAAAATGCCCTTGGGTGTGATTTGATGCCTTGGACAGAGCATTGGGGTGGGAGTACACAGACTCTTCATACTCTGCCACCCTAATGGCTGGCTCCTCGGCCAAGTAAACTAAACTCTTTTAGCTCTAATATCCTCAGATGTACTATAGGAAAAAAAGTAATCTCATTTTAACAGATGATAGTGAAGAAGAGATCAAATCATACAAATCATGCATGTATGCATGTAAGAGAGAGAGAGTGTGTGTGTGTTTGAAATAGAGTCTTGCTTTGTTGTGCAGGCTGGAGTGCAGTGCTGTGATTTTGGCTCACTGAAACCTCCACCTTCTGGGTTCAAGCTATTCTCCTGCCTCAGCCTCCCGAGTAGCTTGGACTACAGATGCCTGCCACCATGCCCAGCTAATTATTTTGTGTTGCTGGTAGAGACAGGGTTTCACCATATTGGCCAGGCTTGTCTCAAACTCCTGACCTTGTGATCCACCCAACTCAGACTCCCAAAGTGCTGGGATTATAGGCATGAGTCACCACACACAGCCCATGCATGTAAAGTTTATACCATTACCAGTAAGGTATATTTGAGGTGTTCATTACCACTTGCTATTTTACCCACTTTCTATTATATTTCATCTCTATGTTTTAGATGAACCACCTTCTACCAGGTATTATACTTAGCACTTACTTGATTTATATGATTTTGATTAATATGACAGGGAAGGAGCCTTTATGACTATTTTCCTTTTACTATAGTATTTTCAGAGACACTCAAAAGCAGGAGCTATCTGTATACATAGAAGTAGACCTCTGTGCTGCCTTCTGTTTGGCCAGTTTCTTAAGAGCCAGGCTATCACCAACTCCCTAATTATATCTTGTCTGTCATTCAAGGCTTAAAAGTTTGCAAGAGTCAAAGCCTTAAATTCGGAATTTTTCCATACTTAGTTATGGTAATATAGTAAAGTTAATGCTGTCATAAGACTCAAAATAACTTGAATTTGTAGCTTCAGTTACAATTGTGTAATGATCAATTTATTTATATTGGGGCTCAGTTTCCTCAGTGTTGAGATACCTATACACACACTTGTAAACACACATTATAAACAAAAATACATTAACACACACACACACAAGTAATTGTAATGGGGACCATGTGCGCCAGTATCAAACTGTTACGCAGTATGATTATTCTCAGTATTCTTAGCACATAGGTTGTGCTTGATCTCAAGCTTCCCTATTAATGTGAAGTCTGAGTAGCCCAATTTACCTCTTCCATTGTTTATATTACTTAGCATGTCACTTATACTACTTTGCATAGAATAATAGAGAAAAGAATAGAAAGAATAGAGAACCTGAAGCCTGGCCTTCTTACTTGAAGAATGAGGAAAGAAACTGGTTGGTAGATCAAAAGCTCTACTCACATACTTCACTGGGATGGAGCTCTCTGGGTTCTTAGTCTTGGATTTTTCTCTTCTGTATTCCTTTTTGGTATGATTAGTTATATTGTTGTTTTTCGGTGCTCTAAAACAATAAACGTGGTGGGTGGGAATAGTGGGACACAATTTGGTCTGAAGAATGATTTAATTTCAGAAAATGCTGGCAAAACCATATCTGATGGCAGGAGTTCAGGTTTCCACCAAGTCCCCAAAAGCCAGAGTGTTCAGAGTTATGTGGAAAGCTGAGAACATGAACAGTAGCAAATGACAGCCGAAAGGTACCCTCAATTAAGGAAGATGATGGTGTAGGATCTGACAGAGGATGTGGTTAACTTAAAATTGAGTCTTCTTATTAACTTCCATGACAATTATTTCTCTGCATGCCATGTGCTCAAGTGCAGATTGCAAAATTAGCTGACTTGGCACTAAATTTTGCTGCACACAGACTGAAATGGATCTCTTGTTATCTGCCTATGAAGGTTAGCTACCTTGCTGAATGTGAGGAGATCTAGAAAGGAGACCCTTCTTCCTAAAAGCTGCTTCTACTACAGGAATTGCCCTGCCAGGATACATGGGATGAAAGCTGGCAAGGGTTTTCTCTCTGAACCACTAAATCTCAATACCTATGTAAGCAGGTTATTGTTATTGTGTTCTGAAGTTCCTAGATTTATCAGAGTATATTTGGGTAAATTGTCTCACTAAATACCCTTTGCACTGAGATGGAGTTCTGTAAATGTGTCCTTGCTTCTACATATTCTGCATAACTGGAGGTATATAATCATGGGCAGTATGTTGTGGCACAAACATTAGGCCCATGATTTCAGAAAACCTTTTTGCAGTTGTTTTCAAAGTCATCACTCTCTCCATGGATCCAGTTTCCTTTTAAACACACATAATATTAAAACAATTTGTCTCTTTGATATGCAAAAGTCTCCTGAGGTTTACTGGTGATTAGGGCTGCAGATTTTCTTGCACATAGATCAAACATCAAGTGCTGTGACCTCGTGCCATGTACACAAAATATCTAACAACTTCACTTAGGCACACTTAGGTCATATTTTATTTAGTGATGTCTTGCTCGTCAGTTTGAAAAGGACACATTTATGATTTTTTGAAATCTAGAGTGTAGTTCTATACTGTTTGATTTTCTTGGAATTGTTGGGAAGTATATTGGGTCCCACTAAAAGAGGACTATTTCAATCTTTTAGCTCTGCAGTTGTCACAGCAGAAGAATCGTTTTAATAAAATGTTCAGCCAAAGCAGCACTACTCTTCAATAGTTCTTACATTCATCTCTTCCTAACTCCTTTGAATATGCCATAGAGCTATAGTTTCAGACCTTTCCCACTGTCTTCATAACTCCATTTTTTTCCCTGCACTTCTTTCCCTCAACGTATTTTTAAAAACACATCATTAAGTCCAAGCTGTCAAATGTGACTCTCCCTAGTTTCCTTCGTTTTATCTCAGACTATCTGTATCATCAAATCATTTCTCCTCTTTCTATTTTAAAGAAGGAAAAATGGTTTTCTTTTACTAAAGGCTGACCATGTGGGCTTGAATTTGGATACGTCCCCACTCTCGAATGAGACTGAATCCTGCGTTAAGAATCTTCACTGAGGGCCGGGCGCGGTGGCTCAAGCCTGTAATCCCAGCACTTTGGGAGGCCGAGGCGGGTGGATCACGAGGTCAAGAGATTGAGATCATCCTGGTCAACATGGTGAAACCCGGTCTCTACTGAAAATACAAAAAATTAGCTGGGCATGGTGGCGCATGCTTGTAATCCCAGCTACTCAGGAGGCTGAGGCAGGAGAATTGCCTGAACCCAGGAGGTGGAGGTTGCCGTGAGCTGAGATCGCGCCATTGCACTCCAGCCTGGGTAACAAGAACAAAACTCCATCTCAAAAAAAAAAAAAAAAAAAAGAATCTTCACTGAATCTTTGATCTTACTCTCTCCACTGGGCCCTTTTTACTTTTGAATGCACACACATTGGTTTACCTGCTCCTAGATGAAAGTAAGAAACCAACAAGCGAACCAAACTCCTACCACTTATTCAACATATCTTTTCTGTGTTCTTTTTTTGTTAGTTTTTTTTTTTAGCACTAAACTTCTTAAAAGTAGACCTCACTGGCTTTCACTTCTTCAGGCTTCTCATCGTGTCTTGACCTCATTATGCCTGTGCTTCTGGTACCTATGCTCATTTATAGGCATGTTGTTTTTGTTTTACTTTCTTGTTAGTACTTCCCAAATTAAGTGTTCCATCTGCTCAGCCACTGTTCTCAAGCCAGCCTTGTCCCTGACTCATTCTATCATAATGGTTTCATTGGTCTACCAGTCATGCAATCCAAATTCTAATTATACTTTATTCTCTTCTACACAATTTCTATTTGGTTACTAAATCCTATATGTATAGATCTTCTATATATTTTTCAAATGTATTTCTTTCTTTTCATGTCTGTTGCCATAGCAATAGTGTAGACCTCCGTTTACTTCAGTGCTCCTATTGCGCACAAGTCCTCATTAGTTTCCCAGTTTCTAGCTTCTCTCTATACCTGTCTAAAAATGAACTCCACCAGTATTGTTCTTCTGCTCAAGTGCTTTGAAGTCAACAATTGCAACTTAAAGTAGTTCTAACTTCTTCAAAATTGACAAGAACTTCTGTGATCTGGCTATAATTTGATCTTTACAGTCTTAGCTCATGCCACTTTTCTATAATTAGTTCCTCTTGCAACTGCAAGATTTTTTGTTTTCTGGTAATTTTATGCTTACTTTTCCTTTTTGTTTTTTATTTTTTGTCTGCAAGAAATTCCTTCTTGTCAAAGCACCTTATTGATCCATAATGGTTGAAATCCTCAATACCTTTGCTTTTTCCTGAACTTCTCAACTGACCTCTTCATCCTGCTCTTTCAGGCCAGTAGCAGGTGCCCTTTGCTTAATAACATTTGTATTTTCTGTTTTTTGTCTTGTTCTTCTGTATACATGTACAGTTTCTCCTAGTCTATTTTTCTGTGAGAAAAGTGGCTTTCTAGTTGTTGACATGTAATATATGAAAAAAAATTTAAAAATTAGAAAAAGATAGTTAAAAGATTATCTGAACATTACGCCTCCAAAATCATGATACAATTTTATTACACTTTACTGTATTTAAATTGGAAATTTCCTTTAGATCTTTTTTTTTTTTGTCTTTGTTATATCTCATGGGATCATAAGTTTCCAAATAACATTTCACTTTCATTACCTTCCTGAACAAACTTGTCATTAATCTTTCTTTATATTTCATATAATTGCCATAGTAGGCGTGAATCTTGTCTTTAGTGGAATATTCATTCTATAGATCCCCTTGACTAGCTCCAGCAATCAAGGATCTATAGAATGAACATAGAATATTCATATTTATTCTGTAGATCCTTGATTGCTGGAGCTAAAATAGAATAACATCATGTGTTCTACAATGTCAGTAAAGAAAGTTAACAAAAATTAATTACCCCATTAATATGGAATTGGAAGAGTTGAATAATTTTGCCTGTGTATTTTTAGTATTTACTTATGTAAATATTTTTTATCTACTTGTCACTATGGAGGCACATTCTTCTCTGTGAGTCATTAGATACCTTTTATTACTTATAATTCAGACATTTTCTATTTTGAAAGCAACTAAATTACATATACATTAAAACTCATAGAATAAAATACTTCAGAATAAAACAAAACAGAGGTAATCAAAGTAAGGGGACAGAGTAGGTGATACAGGTACCTAACATGAACTGATGGCATTTATTGGTTTTTATTTGGCTTCTGAGTATTCTGGCAGCTACAACAGAAATATAAGCATGTTGAGTTAAATAGTCACTGGATAATTATTGACCCTTGACTTCAATTTATATAATCTAACTTGGCAAGAATATGAATGTTGGGCATCTGGTTTAAAGAATGCCACAATCACCACTTAGTGTGGCCTATTAATATAAATAGAGTAAAGCAACTTATAGGAGATACCAACAAGCATATTGAAATTTAAAAAAAAATGAATTCTAGGATATCTCATAAGAGATTGCAAAAACATTTTTTGTGTATTTGAGGTAAATAGCTCTGTGTAGTCCTAAATTCTTAGCATTTTTTTTAAATTAACATCTTCTGAAGCCAGGTGCTTTATGAAATTGCATTGTAGTTAGCAGCTAATGGACTCTAATACTGAGGACAATTCCTCAGGGAAAGGGAAGCAGACCTCATAGGAAAGGCTTTTAGTAATAAATCTTATTTGATATAAGAATATCTGTGTTCCACACAAAGGAAAGAAATTCTGTGAGGCATCAAGTAATGTAACTGTAAGGTATAAATAGATATCTACTGAAGTAATGAAGTATATTTGAAAGGGAATTTCAATTACTTTATTCAGAATATTTCTTTTTTCAGTATTATTGCAAGCTCTTTGTGACCTCATATAAGAGATAAATTCATAGGGGGATACTAGTATGTCAAATTTCATTTGATTGAAGGGACATTTGGTGAACACTACATTGACTCTGGCTTGCAGGCAATGTGAAGTTAGTTTAGAAGATTTACTACCATAGATTGAATCTAGTGACTCACCATAAAACCAATTTATCATCAGACATTACTTTATCTGATAGTTCCACAAGGTAGAAAAATTATGCTGCAGCTTTCATTAATTTTTTGGCATATGTGACTATATTCTAAGAATATATAGTCTCAACCTGAACATTTTATAGTGAACTGACTTTATTTCAGATAATCCACATTAACACATGACTCTATCTCTAATTTAAAAAAACACAAACAACAGACAGGACATTTTTTGTCTGAAATTGCTCACATTAGAAGGCAGAATTCTATTCCTCTGTCCATTTTCCTAATTATCTTAAATGTATGATTGTGTGCCAACGGAGAAAATTCTATCTGATGCTTCATATAAAAGAACATCCAAACAAACATGTGCCTATACATTCTTTTCTAGCTCATAGAACAATGACATAATACATATAAAGGTAGAGTAATTCGGCAGTTGTACAAGAAACATAATAAAGTGGCTCCCGTACTGTATATTTTACTCTAATTATTGGTGTATCCCATTTTCTCAGCAAGCAAAAAATAGGACCATACTACTACCAATTTTAACTTCTTATCATCGTAAACAACATTTAACAATGGTTTTACAAGCAGAAGTAAAGATTTATGCATGCCTCTTTTTTCCCTTTAAATGTACTCTAACCTACAATTTTTTTTCTTTTTTTATTATATGTTAAGTTTCAGGGTACACGTGCAGAATGTGCAGGTTTGTTACATACATATACATGCGCTGTGGTGGTTTGCTGCATCCATCACCCCATCATCTACATTAGGTATTTCTCCTAATGCTATCCTTCCCCTATTACTCCATCCCCTGCTAGCCCTCCCTTAGTCCCACACCCACCAACAGGCCCCTGTGTGTGTTGTTCCCCTCCCTCTGTCTGTGTATTCTTATTGTTCAGTACCCACTTATGTGTAACAACATGTGGTGTTGGTTTTCTGTACTTGTATCAGTTTGCTGAGAATGACGGTTTCCAGTTTTATTCATGTCCTTGCAAAGGACATGAACTCATCCTTTTTTATGGCTGCATAGTATTGTATTCCATGGTGTATATGTGCCACATTTTCTTTATTCAGTCTATCATTAATGGGCATTTGGGTTGGTTCAAGTCTTTGCTATTGTGAACAGTGCCACAATAAACATACGTGTGCATGTGTCATTATAATAGAATGCTTTATAATCCTTTGGGTATATACCTAGTAATGGGATTGCTGGAGCAAATGATATTTCTAGTTCTAGATCTCTGAGGAATCGCCACGCAGTCTTCCATAATGAACTCTAACCTACAAATTATAAAATGAACATTTGTTTGCAAGAACTCAATAATGTCAGGGACTAGTAATTTACCTATCTAGAGGAAAAATAAAATGAGCAAATCAGAGATCCTTTTGCTAACCTACCTGTGGCTTTAGAAACATCTTTCAGAATCAGTTGGATTACCCTTCCCTATGCCTCCATATAAACCAAGATCAGATCAAAATTATTCTTATAGGTCAAACTATCTGTAACATTATCTTATCCTTCAGACTTACATAATTCTATAACTTTTGGACTAATCAAATTAAATTAGCAAGGGCCACCAAAAACCTATTTACAAATCTTTTCTACTTCCTTCAACGCCCTTTTTCCTTGATTGTAGATTTGGTCTCACATCAAAAGGATGATAACTTTACAAAGAAATAATTAAACACTGGTAAAAATAAGGATTTAAGAAACATTTTAAATTACACTTACTCAATAATCAATAAGAAATTCTACATTTAAGATATTTTAGTTAAGGATAATAAGCTCATATCAAATGTATTTGACTAAGCTCAAGAACTAGATTTTGTAAAATTTTATGAGAGGATCAGCTATAGTTAGTGATTATGTAAGGTCTTCGAACATTTATATTTAGCCTATACTAAAATAAAAAGTAAGCTCCAAAAAAATTTTCAACTTTTTCCTCCAGTTTTTTTTAGTCATCAGACATGATGTGTCCTGTGGCAATAGACATATTTAGCTTGTCAACTGATAGGCAATGGTTGTAATTGATGTGGCTGTATGCATGCAAATACTAAATGAATAAACTAGAGAACACCTCTTACATACTAAATGAGTATATTACTAGTGTATTTATTTGCTGAGGATTTATTTGGCTTGAACCACTCATTTTTCATTTTGAATTATTAACTACCTGCTGTATGTGCTAGATACAAACAGATATTGCAAAGATATTTAAAATCTTGTCACTGACCATTCATTGACTTATGGTTAAATGTGAATACTAACTCATGAACAGATGAATATTGTATAGTGATAAGCATAATCATAAGAATAAGTTGAGATGTGATGAGACTAGAAAGAAAAAAATACTTTTGGAAAGGATTGGAAACTTTTTACAGAAATGATGATATTTGAACTGAGGCTTGAAATCTAATAAATATATTGGGTATCAAAGGGAAGAAAAGCATTCTGAATAGAAAAATTTGATCTGAAAAGTAAGCAATATGGAAGAACCTGGCACTTTTGAGAAAATTCAAAATATTCAGGTGCCTATACTGCCTGATACATAGGAAAGAGTAGAAGAAGACTATGTTGGTCTCTTAGTACTTATAAAGAGATAAATACCGATCAAATCAGGAAGGGCCTTTTACCCTGTGCTCCAGTGTATGGACTTTTATTGTGGAAAGCAATGATTGTCAGGTAACTAATATGAAAGATTTTCATTTTAAATGCCTCAGTCTAGTAGTTTTTTGGATGGCGGACTAGGAGAGAGCAAAATTGGAGGAGACTGGATAGGAAGGGAAAGCCAAAATTTGAGTTGGAAATGATGAAGTCCTAAATGACATTATGGCTTTAGAAATTTGAGAACACATGGACATTTTCACTATGTAAAATGTATTTGCTATTTCTTTGAAGTTAAGAGTAAAAAATAATTTTGATTAAAATAGAGATACTAAGTGTGTGGACACTGGGATTTGGATTCAGTGGTTTTATCTCCCAGAGCCTATATTCCATCTTTCAGTGTCCTTCTACTTATAAATTAATCATTTAGAGCAATTCATGGCCGTGGAGATTAGTGTTGAAGTCAATGGATCCAGACAGGCTTTGTGTTCCTGTACAAGCTTAATATTTGTTTTAATTTAAGAAACTGCCCACACCTAATAAAATATAATCTATTACAATTGGCTGTTATTTCATATTATTGGCTATTGAAATAATCTGTCCATACTTGATTTTTCATTGCTGTCAAGTTTGGCCTGCATTTATCATTAACACATTTACTTTTGCAGTAGTTCCTGATTTTAACCCCTTCTCACCAGCCCCTCTGCTGTTATCTTGCTCTGTCTTTCTCTATTTCCCTTCAACAGTTCTTTCACCTTCTTGTTGTCCATTTATTTCCAATCAAATCTTCATACCACTCTTTCTTTACATATAAAATACCAGGAATTTTCCAACTGTTGCTTAAAATATTTCTATGGAGTTTTCATATCTATGCTGATGTGATTTATATGATAATACTGTATATTTTATAGCAAATTATATTTTGAAAACATTCTTTTTAAAAATTCGTAAAACTAACTTTAAAAACTCAAACGACAACAAAAATAAAGTTTGTGCAGTTTTAGAAAACATTGTTTTAACTTACTGAGTATTTAAAGGCATACATGATGCTATAAACCAGAAAAATAACCTGTTTGTTATGGTTTTCTATAACACATTCAAGATTATTCTAGTAAAATACATGTATTATATTACCAGAGTAGCTGTTATTGTTAATAGTAATAATAGTAATAGTAGACTTTTTACTATTTGTGTAAAAGCTTAATTAGGATGTTTAACTTGGTAGACCCAAAATTTATATTTGAAACTATTATATTTCTAACTTTATGCAAACGTTCTGTTACAAAACCATACCAACACAGGTAACAGATGAGCACTTGAAAAATTTCAACCCAGTTTACAAATTAGGGAATATTAAAAATAAACAGTACAGCCGGGCGCGGTGGCTCACGCCTGTAATCCCAGCACTTTGGGAGGCCGAGGCGGGTGGATCACGAGGTCAAGAGATCGAGACCATCCTGGTCAACATGGTGAAACCCCGTCTCTACTAAAACTACAAAAAATTAGCTGGGCATGGTGGCGCATGCTTGTAATCCCAGCTACTCAGGAGGCTGAGGCAGGAGAATTGCCTGAACCCAGGAGGCGGAGGTTGCGGTGAGCCGAGATCGCGCCATTGCACTCCAGCCTGGGTAACAAGAGCGAAACTCCGTCTCAAAAAAAAAAATAAATAAATAAAAAAATAAACAGTACAGTATAAATGCATGTACCAACAAGAAACATTATCTATGAAGAAAAATGTAGATTTTCATTCACCCTATTACGTGCTCCCTTTGCTCCTCCCGCCATCATCACAGAGAAAGTAAGAGAGGGAGAGGGATGTGAAAATCAGGGAAAATAATTGTGGAAAATTCCTACAGTCTGTGTCTTTCTTATTTATTTATTTTTTGTTGTGGTTATTTTGTTCTTTTTTAAAACTCATTTTATAGTTTGCACAAACACATCTCACCTTTGCTTTTGGTCCCGATCATAGTTACTTTCTGCCTGACTTTTAGTGAACCCTTGAGTTCAGAGAATTTCTCATTCAATTCTTCACCCTTAAATATGTGTAAAAGACCACTGCATTGTAAATAAATGTCCAATATGACTTCAAGCTTAACAATCCTGTTTATATGCCTTTTTCTAGTTCATTTTCCTTTAATACAATTTAATTTAATAGAAGTAATCCAGATATAGGGTGTTCTTAGTTTGCTTGATTTTTTACAGCTGGCCATGTACGATAGCGTGAGTTGCCAGCATTGCTCTAGACTTAGTAGTGACAATGCTTGGGCATGCTTTTCCTCCCTAACTGGGTCATGAAAATTCATTCCAGGGGAAGCATTCTCAAACCCATGACTGACACAAAACATGCTCAAGTCTGAACCAAGGTCTCTGTATTTGTTGTTTACTGCTGTGAAACAGACTAAATGGCTCAAAACATGTTGTAAGTTGACAGTTTAAGCTGGTGGCAGAGGAATTCACAGCAGTAAGTGAAGGTAAGCTCCAATGGACCAAGCACTTTTCAAACCTTTGCTATATCATGTTTGTTAATGTCCTATTGAGCAATCAAGTCACATGGTCTCTCTGGGCAAAAAAGGGGACTGCAAAAAGCATTGATGCAGAGAGATATGACTTATTGAGACCCTTGGTCTCACATTCTACAGAATCTCTCTCATACTATTTCCTCCACTTTAGTTTGAGGACTATGGTCATGAAATAGCAGACAGGTACCCATCAAACTCCTAGCAAGTAGATATAACACTTCCTACAAATGATGAAAATCTGAGCTCTCTACTATAAGCAGAGACTGAGTTAACGAGCTTTACAGTAAAAAATATTTTAAAAGTGTTTATTTTTTCTTCTTCAATATGCCAGTCCTTTTGCCAAACTGAATACAGAGGTCTTGAAAGAGATCCACTTATATTGCTGAAATAGGAATTATATAAATAGAAATAATAACTCATTAAGAACAATTATAAGAATAATAGAAATATTAGAAATAGGAAATAATAGAAATAAGAAAAATATTATAAGAATAATAAAATAAGAACTATTATAATAATGGAATATGAAATCAACCAGTTGCCAGAAAACCTGGA